GACTCACCTTTGTTGGATCGATGATTCCAGCCGACATTAAATCTTCGTATTTATCTGTCGCAGCGTTATATCCGTATCTCGCATTATCGTTCGCCAAAACCTGAAAAAAAAAATACCAAAATATTATTAAATAAAGGGAAAATGACCATAATAGGCATGTATGTATGTATGTATGTATGCATGCATATATGTATTGAACTTGTATACCTTCTCACTAACTACACTTCCATTAACACCTGCATTTTTTGCAATCAACTTAAGAGGGTAACTCAAAGCTCTCTTTACAATATCCGCTCCAACCTGCAAAATTCATCAAGATTCACAAGGGTATTTACGTCTTTTGCACACATAAGATCAAGAACAAGAAATTGTCTTTGTTTTATAACACATTATTCAACCTTTTCTACATGGGACAAAAAGTTATATTTTTTGTCCTATTCATATTAGGCTATGTTTGACGTACTAGCTAAAAAGCTAGCTGTTAGCTGATAGCTGAAAAACTAGTTGTTAAATAAAAAATTAGTTGATAGCTAAAAAGCTAGCGGATAAAAAATTGTGTATGGTAAAACTAACTGAAAAGCTACCTGAAATATATAAAATGACATTTAAAAGAATTTGTTTCTATAATTAATTAAAGGGTATAATCTGAAAAAAATTTAAAAAGCTCCTGAAAAGGTAGTCTAAGTAGCTTTTTAAAAAGCTAGCTTATAAACTACTTTTTGGCTTGCCAAACATGACAACTTAAAAAAAATTCAAAATATAAGCTAGCTATGCCACCCCAAACACAGACTGAGTCTTCTGTCCAATGAAGATCAAACACTGTACTATTTTGTCTTGTTCTGTGTAACAAAAGGGGCCCACAAGAACAAACCTTTTCCTCATCGTTATCGAGTGTCTCCTTGATAGCATCCACTTTAGAGGCAAGCCTCAACAAAGTACATCCACCACCCACAACAATTCCTTCCTCTACAGCCGCCTGCAACCAGATTAGGGTTTAGGGTTTAAGGTTATTTAGGGTTTATGGTTTAGGGTTAACTAACCTTTGTTGCATTAAGAGCATCTTCTACTCTAAGTTTCTTCTCCTTCAATTCAGTTTCAGTTTGAGCTCCAACCTAAAGTGTAACAAAACAAGATTAAACCAATCTACTTTCATACGACACAAGAAAATCAAAATCCCTAAAATACCCTTCACTAGTCACACTACTAACCTGAATAACAGCAACACCACCCAAAAGTTTAGCAATTCTTTCATTAAGCTTTTCCTTTTCATAATCCTGTTCAGCTGCCTCAATAAGATTTCTAATTTGAGCTACACGCTTTTCAACTGCAGCTTGAGAGCTTCCATCACCAACTATTGTTGTGTAATCTTTCCCAAGAACCACTTTAGCAGCATGCCCTAATACTGAATTGTCAGCTTTGTCTAAAGTAAGCCCCACTTCATCTCTGATCACAGTCCCTATACTCACAAAATGTGTATTATTAGTATCTATGACAAGGGCAAATTTGGAAATTTGGAATAGAAGTATAGTATATTAGTTATTACTATTACTATTAGTAGTTACCTCCAGTTAAAATGGCAATGTCATCAAGATACTGGCTTTTTCGTTCTCCAAAACCAGGAGCTTTTAAAGCAGCTATCTTTAATGCCCCTCTAAGTCTATTCACAACAAGAGTTGCTAAAGCTTCTTGTTCGATGTCTTCAGCTATTATAAGAATTGGGTAACCGTTTTTTATAGCATCTTCTAATACACTGATGAGATCTCTTGCATTTGTTACTTTCTTGTCTACTAAGAGCAACTGAAAGAGAGATGAAAAGGGCGTTTATGTCTTTTCACTTTTGTGTATTGGAATGAAAATGTGAGGGGTTATGTAACATGGGTTTGGATTTTTTTTTACCTTGCAGTTTTCATATTCGACTACCATTTTCTCACTATCGGTTACAAAGTAAGGTGAGATGTAACCTCTGTCAAATTGCATGCCTTCAACAACATAAAGACTGTTTTCAGCACTTTTTCCTTCTTCAAGAGTTACTACACCTTTTCTTCCTACTTTACTCATGGCTTCTGCTATCATGTTTCCTACTTCATAGTTGTTTCCAGCACTAACTGCTGCCACGTCAGCAAGTTCACTATCTTCAACCTCTTTTGAGATCAATTTAAGCTCAGCTACCAAAGCTTTAGTTGTCTTTTCAATGCCTCTGGTAATTAGGACAGGATTTGCACCTGCTGCCACAACCTTGTAACAAGTAACAACATTTCGATTATTTACAAAGATTGAAGTTATGATAAATATGAAAATGGTGGAAATGGGAAGAATTATATGTACCTTGACACCTTCTGCAATAAGACCTTGTGCAAGGACTACTGATGTTGTAGTTCCATCTCCAGCTAAGTCATTGGTCTTTGCAGCAGCTTGTCGAACAAGTTTTGCACCAATGTTCTCCACTGGATCATCCAATTCTACCTCTTTAGCAACAGTAACTCCATCATTGACAATTTTAGGGGTACCATACTTGCTTTCTAGAACTACATTTCTCCCCTTTGGACCAAGAGTAACGCCGACTAGATCTGCAAGTTTGTTTACACCAATCTGTGACAGAAAACAGATTGATGAATCAGAAAAAACATGGAGTGATAAGAGTAAGAAAGAACGAGTTGTGTATAAACTATGAATGTTTAATGGTGTTATTGTTAACTCACTTGAAGCTTTTTGATAGCTGATCCGTCTTTGTTGAAGTACAATTCCTTTGCTGCAGCTTTGATTTGGGAAGTTCGTGGGGCTTTTCGGAGTGAAAGATTTTGTCTCCTGACTAACGAAGTAGAAGATATTGAAGCAAAAGATGATAGCTTGTTTGATGGAGTTGAGAGATTCTTATCCGTCACTATGTTACTGGAACATGCCAAGGATCCAAGAGATGAGACACCAGCAAAAGTCGAAGCCATCTGTCATAAACCCACAACACAATGTCAAAACGAAACTGCTAAATAACATAAAGCAGAAATGAACACATCTACTCCCTCTGTTTCAAATGAAAACCTACACTTCTATTTCGAACCTAAACCCTGATGCAAAATCGCAAACCCGATATGAACAATGTTCAAAATCTGTGCTCTTCGTTTCAGAAATAATAATTCAATGTTGTAGCATTTTTTTCTGAAGGATTCAAATTTTAAAACTATGGCAAATTGCATGTAGGAAATCGAGAGGGGGCATTGTTAATCATTTTACAAGCAAGGAATAATCCGATAACAAAACGATAAACGAAGATTGATGTAATTTGTATATGAATTAGCTTACCGGATAAAGAGTGTAGAGTTACAGTCGGATTTCAAAGAAGATCGGAGCCGTATGCACGTAAATGGAGGAGTTGCGAAGAAGTGACAGTGGGGTTCATCAAGTTAGGTTAATTGTCAAGATTGAGCTTATAGTTATATAGTAGGACAACGGCCCCGTTTTGGTCTTGAAGGTTCGAATTGATTGGGGCCGTTAGATTGGATTTGTCATTGCACCAGAATTCTCTAGAAAGGCATATAATGCATCCAAAATTAAGTGTTTTATTTTGGTTTTCATGTATTTTGTTTATTATTATAAAACTAAAGTTGTATTTAGTAAGGTACTAAATTGTCAAGTAAAACTTTTTAAAAAACATAAAGTAAAAAATTTATTTTTTTATAAAGATTGAAATACTAAATTATTTAAAAACAATAAAACCGAGTCATGATAGATAATGTATCATAAACATCTCAAGTCGAAGGGGATGTTTGGATACGGAAAAAAGATGTTGTTTATTGCTTATTGTTTATTCACACCATAATAAGCTAAGTTTAAGTGTTTGAATATGAATCTTTAAAAATCAGCTTATTGTGGTAGGAATAAGCTAAATAAGTTGATTTTAATAAACAATGAGGAGATGTTTATTGCTTATTGCTTATTTTTAGTGATTTGAAAATTTACCAAATTACCCTAAAAAAACGATACGTAACAAATAAACCCTTTCTCGATCAACAAATCATTCACAACACTTCTGTCGTTCGCCAGGAAACTATTCCTGCTCGACGTGACATCGACCCTGGAAGCCATCGATGACTTGGAAGCAATCGACGATCAGGTTTGCGTCTTCTTCTTCTTTTTTTTCGTCTTGTATCAATCGACATACATGGACAACTTCTTCTTCTTCTTCTTTTTCGTCTGGAAGCAATCGGCCTGGAACCCTTTCTCGATCAACAGATATTCTTTTTTTTCGTCATGCATAAATCGACGAGGAAGTCATCGATGCTTCTTTTTTTCTTCATCCTTGATTGTTGTTGTTACAGAAAATTCAGAATTTTCTTTTGATTGCTATTGATGCTACCTGTTTTTTGCTTCTGACTTTTGCTGCTACAGAAAATTCAGAATTTTCTTTTGATTGCTATTGATGTTACTAGTTTTTTTGCTTCTACCTGTTTGCATTTTTGTTTGCTATTCATGCTACCTGTTTTTTTTCTTTTGATTCAAAATTAGGGTGAAAATTCAGAATTTTCTTCATTCATTATCATGATTTAATATAGGTAATGGACACTGTCAATGTTCATGATATGAGTATTGATACACCCAAAGTGAAAGTTACAAATAGTTTTAATTGGGATCCTCATACATTCAAGATGTTTCTTGAGGAATGTATGAACGAGCTAAAAAACGGGAATAGACCGGGTACTTATTTCAATAAGCCCGCGTGCCAAAATATATGTATGAGGCTTTTGGAACGAACGGGTAAAGATTTGGACAGAAATCAAATGAAAAACAAATGGGACATTATGCGGAAAGAGTTCAAATATTATGACCGTTTAACAAGACTAGAAACGAGAATTTCAACTGATCCCGTGAGAAATATAATCTCAACATCAAAGGAATGGTGGGATGAGAAAATAAAAGTAATAATTATAAATTTTATCTACCAATTTATTATTTGTATTGTGTTTTTTGTGACATTCTCATTTTGTACATGTAGGAAGATAAAGAGTATGCTAAGTTTAAAGATAAGAATATTGGATGTATATCAGACATATTACGAGGCTTTATTTCGGGATACCGTAGCTGTTGGAGACAAGGCTAAGGTACCTTGCGAATTTGGCGACGGTAGCACTCTAGATGATGTATAGTTTGTGGATATTACGGATGGAAAAGAAGCTACTGACAAAGTCCTCTTATTTGATGATGTTGATCCTTTTCTCAAATATGATAGTTCTAGTAAGAAAAAGAGGGGAAAGAAGTTAACTCCCAGGCGTGACAACAAAAGAAAATTTGAAAGAAAAAGTGAAGGAAAAAGTATGGTAAGCTCGTCATATGAAGAGAAACTGGACACTGTTTTTGATGTTTTGTTAACAAGGAGCACTCAGCCCTCAAGACAAACCACACACTCACCGAAAACAGAAGATTGCATGGCAATTGTGTCTACTTTCCCAGATTTTGTAGAAGGCTCAATAGGATATTTGGAAGCGTTAGAGGTCTTTTTAAAGAAGCCAGCTCGTCATAATTTTTTGGTTCCAAAGACTAATGAAACAAAGATGGAGTTTCTCAAGAGGCTTATAGAGAAAGAGAAGTAGTTGAAGACATACTCTACTTTTATGTCATGTGTTAGTTTCATGTTTGTTTTGTGGTCAATTTTGCCCTTGCCCCATGATTTTGCTTTTGTTTACTTTTCCATGATTTTATCTATTAGGTTGACTTTAAACGGTTGTCATGTGTTAGACTTATCCTTTTATCTATTACATTGACTTTAAACGGTTGTTTTGTGTTTGTTTTAATGCAATTCCGTTTCATGTTTGTTTTGTGGTCGATTTTGCCCTTGCCCCATGATTTTGCTCTTGTTTTCTTTTTCATGATTTTGCCATGATTTTATCTAGTATGTGGTAAATTTCTATCTTACCCTTGTTTCCTTTTCCTTTAGTAATAGGTTATCTTCATGGCCAGTGACTATGAAAGCGACAACTCATATGACAGTGATGACTCGTGTGATGAAATTGAAGAAAATGAAGAGATTCAAACACTTCTTTTATGTGGGCTTGCTGTCAAAGGGTTACTATTGACTCATAAATTGAAATACGTATGTAGAATTGTAATACGTATGTAGACGTCGCCGTTCATCTTCAAGGAAGCATGCTTATCAAAGAAATACTTAACGATCACGAGAGTCGATGTTATGAACTTTTTCAGATTACAAGTCCTGGTTTTCAACATGTTATGTAGGGATCTTGTTACACGTTATGGGTTAAAGAAATCACGTCGTGTATCTATTCAAGAGTCCCTTGGTATTTTCTTGGTGTATAGCGCATGGATGTGGAAATCGGTTAGTTCAAGAGTTCTTTTACCATTCTGGGGAAACAATCCATAGGCATTTTCATAAAGTCTTGGATGTTGTGGTTAACCTAAGTAAGGACATCATCAAACCAAATGCTAACTACAACGAAACTATACCATAACATATTTTAATTAACCCTCGGTATTATCCATACTTCAAGGTACTTATTTTGTTGCAAAGTTATGTTATTTGGTGAATTTGCGTAATTGTAAAAATAATTGGTAACTTATTATTTATTTTGAATTTGTAGGATTGTATTGTGCTATCGATGGAACACGCATGAACGCCTCTATTCCGCAAGGTGACCAAATCAAATACCTTGGACGAAAGAATTGCGTTACTCAAAATATTATGGCAGCATGTGATTTCAACATGTGCTTTACCTTTGCGTGGGCTGGATGGGAGGGGAAAGCACATGACACGATAATTTTCAATGAAGCGCGAAGGAGACGTGAAGTTAAGTTTCCAGCAATGGTTAGTATTATTATTTATTAATAAAATTTTTATATTTTCAAACGGTATAAATGAATAACAATCATATGCTTTATATGTACCTATATAGGTAAGTTTTACCTTATAGACGTCGGATATCCAAATACAAAAGGTTATCTTGCTCCCTACAAAGGTTCAAACATCCGTTATCATATTCGTGTTTTTCGACGTGGACAGACTCGTGTCGCGCGGGAACCATAAGGCTTCAAAGAAAAATTTAACTATTATCATTCGTCACTTCGCAATGTAATTGAACGAAATTTTGGAGTTTGGAAGGCTCGATGGGTGTTACTAAGAGATATGCATGTAAATTTCGACTTCGAGACCCAAGTGAAAATTATGTTAGCTTCAATGGCGATTCACAATTACATTAGAATGAGCGATAGTGGTGATGTAGCATTTCAGATAGCGTAAGAAGAATCTCATATTCTGCGTAATGATGAAGGACCCGATGATGGTATTGAGCCACATGACGAAGTATCAAGTGGACAACGTAGAAATGACGATATGTATATGAGTGTAGTACGCGATATGATTGCGGGACAAATTTTCTCAAGGTCAAACACTCATACACGTAATGACGTATGATTTGTTTTGAAACTCTTTGGTATTTTCATTTTATGGTTTAATGTAGTAGCATGAAACTATTTTGGATAATATGGAATGGGTTATAACTGTGAGTGATGGATAGTATGGATTTGGAATGAAATTTGTGGTCTCATATAGGTTTGCATGATAAATGTTTTTTTAGTTCTTATGGATAAGAAAATTATGGTCTCATGTTTCTTGAATATTTCAATAGATGTATCCGATCAATTTAAAAATAGGTGTAAAAATAATGTGGTAAATGTTTATTTAGTTCTTATGGATAAGAAAATTATTATTATTATTTAAAAAACAAAATTGTTTTGTTTTAATAAGAAAATATGTTAACATATAAGAGGAAGCCCTTTTTGGTCATTTTACTCATATAAGTTGTTTTGTTTGCCAAACACTTAAAAATGTTTATTGCTTATTCCCATCGCAATAAACTAATCCAAACACTTTTGCAAAAACTGTTTATTCCCTCCGCAATAAGCTAATAAGCTAAAAACTAATTTATCCAAACACCCCCTAAAACATACCATATGATGAGTGTACAATACAGTCAAACTGAAGCCTTTTCACGATCAAAGGAACTACATGAAAACATATAATCAACAACTAAAAGCATAAAATTTAGTGAGTTTCCAAAAATATCACATACTACAATATACATACAATGCATATATACAGCAAGGCTCTCGGCTTTAGTGTAGATCAACCATACAAACAAAGGTTCTTGACTCCAATACCTATCTACATGGCAACTAATACTCTTGTGTCATCTAGTCATCAACATTGATATTCTAGGCTCTCGGCACTACTATCGATCCACCATCAACCCCTTGACATAACATATCAACATATCATGTAATCAAACAATCAGCGTGCAGAAGAATATATTAATATTCTTGCATAATAAACATACTACAGTACACCTACATCATATTATATAAATGATATATACTATATCGCATAGTATAGTGAGATAACTCGCCTGAACCGAAAGTTAGGGAATCACAACTATATGCGCACACCCGTAGGAAACGGTCTCACGAAAAACCGAGATACCAACTAGAGTTCAAACCTTAGTCTACAACTCATTCCTCAAAATTTGACCAAAAGTCAAACTTTGTCAAAAAGTCAACGGTGAAAGTCAATGGAAGCGCATTGTAAGTAAAACCAAGCGTGTCGCGCCAACAAATTAACCTTGGAATCTTCAATACGCACGTTACAACACTCAAAAGGTGTGTGAGGCCCTATAGCTTAAACAACCTCCTTCTATTAAGCACTTAATAATTTACGTCAGAAGCTCAAAACTTCAAATATGGACCTCCTAAATGAATTAATGGATAAAGGTTCCAACTTTATCCATTTCTAAGGCTTACTTTCTTCTAAAATCTAAACTGAACACTAAAAAGGACCAAAACTCATGGATGCCACAAAGGGGAAAGCATGCCATTTCATTTTTCCATCATTTACCAAGTGCAGAAATCATAATAATCACTCAGATGGTCATGGAATCCTCCCAACTCCAAGAACACCAAAAGATGAGACCAAAATCTTCCAAAATGACATAAAACAATATTTAATGAAATAAAGAACATGGTTAGAACTTTATACTCAAAAAGATCCAGAAATGTGATGAAAGTGTTGGATCAAGGTTGTAATTAAGCTCCCTTGCAGCAAGAGTGACCTCCTCATCCTTTAAGCTTCACAAACAAAAGATAGAAAGCTCAAAACTTGAAAATGAGGCTAGGGTTTTAGGTGAGGGACAATTCTGGGGAAGGATGATGCTTAATAGGGAAAAACCCATCGTCAGTGCCTTTAAATAGGGCGAAAAGTCCAAGAATTAGAGTTTCACTTAACAGCCAGAGTGTGTCACGCTTGTCATGTGTCAAGCATGTCGCGACACCTAGAAGGCCTACCCACAATACAATGCCAAAAATGAAACTCCTAACTAACATAAAGTAGAAATGAACAAATCTATGCCATTTGTTTCAAATTAATACCTACACATCTATTTCAGACCTAAACCTGATGCAAAATCTCAAAGACGGTGTGAACAATGTTCGATATCTTTGCTATTCGTTCTAGTAATAAACTAATAATAATTCAATGTTGTAATATCTTTTCTTAATGATTCAAATTTCAAAACCATGCCAAATTGCAAGTAAAAAATCAAAAGACAACAATGTTAATCATCTACAACAAAGGAATAATTTGATAACAAAACATTAAACTAAGATTGATGCAATTTGTATATGAATTAGCTTACCCGATAAAGAGTGTAGGGTTAGTGTCAGATTTCAAAGAAGATTTGAGTTGTATGCACGAAAATAGACGAGTTGCGAAGAAGTGACAATGGGGTTTATCAAGTTAGTTTATTTAACAAGATTGCTTATAGTTATATAGTAAGATAACGACCCCATTTTGGTCTTGAAGGTTCGATTTGATTGGGGATGTTAAATTGTTCATCTAAGGATTGGATTTGTCATTGCACCAAAATTATATACAAAGGAATTATAATGTATCCAAAATTAAGGTTTGTATTTTGGTTTCTTAATATTTTGTTTATTATTTTAAAACTAAGGTGTATTTTGTAGCATTCTAAATTTTCAAGTAATTTTTTTAAACATTAGTAAAACATTTATTTTTTATAAAGATTGAAATACTAAATTGTTTAAAAACCATAAAACCGAGTCATGAAAGATAATGTATCAAAAACATCATAAACATCTAAAGTCTAAAAACATATCATCTGCGATGTGCATTCAATATAGTCATACTAGAGCCTTCTCACGATAAAGGGAACTACTTGAAAACATTTAATCAACAACTGAAAGCATAAAACTTAGTGAGCTTCCCTAAATACCACATACTATAATACACTTACAATGCATAGAACAAGGCTCTCAGCTCTAATTTTGATCCACCATATAAACAAAGGCTCTCGGCTCTAGTACATTAACCAATAGCTCCATGTCATCTAGTCATCAACATTGGGTATTCTAGAATCTCGACTTCACTGTCGATCAACCATCAACCCCTCGACATAACATATCAACATATCATGTAATTAGACAATCAATGTGCCTAACATTATACTAATATACTTTTATAATCAACATACTACAATACACATACAACCTATTATACATAGGATATATA